GTTAACAGGTCAGTCGTTAACAGGTCAGTCGTTAACAGGTAGATAAATAACAGCTTGTTAACACGTCAGTCGTTAACAGGTCAGTCATTAACAGGTCAGTCATTAACAGGTCGGTCATTAACAGGTTATTAACAGGTCAGTCGTTAACAGGTCAGTCGTTAACAGGTCAGTCGTTAACAGGTAGATTAATAACAGCTCGTTAACAGGTCGTTTGTTAACAGGTCAGTCATTAACAGGTCATTAACAGGTCAGTCGTTAACAGGTCAGTCGTTAACAGGTCAGTCGTTAACAGGTCAGTCGTTAACAGGTAGATTAATAACAGCTCGTTAACAGGTCGTTTGTTAACAGGTCAGTCATTAACAGGTCAGTTGTTAACAGGTCGGTCTAAATCCAGTCTCATCTGCTGACCGAAGTAGATGTCGGCCTGCGTGACGAGCCATGACTGGTTGTTGGGGTTCAGGGTCAGAGCGTAAGACACCAGCTCTTTAACGGTGACAGCTACAGCCTCCACGTCCACCGCCTGAATGCTACAAACACACACACAAACACACAAACAAACAAACAAACACACAAACAAACAAACAGGTGAGAGTTTACAGCTGAAAGATGGAGTTCATCAACTTTAACAGAGCAGTTTTACTTTGGAAGAGAGGACGGCCAGATGGAGAGATGTTCTGCTGTCACTTCATTAACGATGTCATCCTGAGGAGGGAAACAGAGCCGAGTCACAAAAACTGAAATATTTACTGAACTAATCTCTGGTTTGAAGACAGCCATGGTCCTGCCGTCTGGATAAATGTTAGTGAATAAAATACGGGACGCACTCGTACGATGCTGTGCAGTCTGACGAACAGAGAGATGAGAGTGGTCAGGACCAGCGGCTCCTGACAGAAACAGAGGCAGAATTAAGCCCCGCCCTCCAACATGTAGCCTGAAGCATTGTGCACTCACTCACTCTGAGCTTCTTGATGAAGGTGATGAACTTGTTCCTGCAGAAGAAAAGCATCAGAAGGAGTCAGAAGAACTGGTTTGGAGCAGCTGGAGGCCTGAGATGTGCTGCTGCTGCCTCACCTCTGCAGGATGCCCAGAGACGACTCCCTCTGTTTGATCAGACCCAGACGGCCGTCGCTGCTGCGCTTGTGTTGGAGCGACACGCTGCAGATCAGGACCACCACGTCCCACAGCTCCTTGGCTGTGCGCCGGCTCTCTTTAGGACCTGGCAGCTCTTTGCAGGTGGAGGCCAGGAGCTGGCCGAGCTGCGGGGGGAGAGGAGGGACGGTTTGATCCGGGGAAACCAGTTTCCTGAAAGCTCTGTGGGAAACCAACTAGGGCTGCAGCTAATGATTATTTTAGTAATCAATTAATCTATCGATTATTCTGACGAGTAATCAGATATTTAAAAACCTGTCATGTTCTGCAGTAATTATTTAAGCTTATTTTATAAGAAATACACTTATTTATTATTGTGAAGGGGTAATACACACCTGCTGCAATCAAAGTCAAATTACAACATCAGTTGTATTAATTAATGTGTTTTAAGCTCCACTTGTTTGTATTTATTAGAGCTGCAACAACAACACGTACCTGCATCAAACCGTATCAAACAGTACTTTAGGTTCAACACACACTGTGTATGGAACAATACAGATTTTTAACATTTACTTTATCAACTTGTCTTCTGAAGATGCTCTGTGTTGAAGGATCAGTGGATCTGTGTTCGACTACTCCACCTAGGCTGTATTTTTGAGCTCAGATCCACTGAGAAACTTGCTGTTTCARCAACATTTAATTTAAAAACTGGACTTTTGAGGTTAAACAAATGTTCATAATTAATTTAAATAAATTACAAGTTTAAAAGGGGCATGGACATTTCTCTTTTTTTAATCAAAAAATATTGAACCGTGAGACTAAAGTATTGAACCGAACTGTGAGTTTTCTGTGTCGTTGCAGCCCTGATATTTATATATGTGAGGTTTGAGGAGGCATTAATTAAAAACACTTTGTCAATGAATCATTTTTAACCATCACAGAAAAATCTAAACGCTGTAAATTTATTATTATGGACTGGAAAACTGAATGTGTAATATAAACATTTGGGTGTTGCAATTAAGTTTTGTAGAGTTCACTTGTTAATTTTAACAAAAAGTTCATATTTTTATTAAGACTGTTCTTAGTTTGGTGCAGTGTTCCCATTTAAAGATCTTGACTGTTTAGCTATAAAAAAAATATAACAGTATAATGAAGGCTAAAATCATGAAAAACAGCAGGAAATAATTTTAAAAAATCCAACTATCTTCTATAAATACTTTTAAACTTGAAACATTTACTCCAAGTATCATTTAAACTAAGATAAAAGCATTTCAACAAATAAAAGTGTTTCAGCTCAAGCTGTTAATCTGTTGTTGTGTTTTTATTTTTATCTGACAAACTTACAGTAAATGTTTTTAATCACACAACTTACACACTTTAATAAAACCCTGCCAGGTCACCATGATTAGTCAGCACAAATAACGTTAGCTTAAATACACCTCCTCCTTGTACACCTGTAATCTGACAGATTATCACAGATTAAGGGAACCAAAGGTAATGTAAACAAATACCTGTTGTTAACTCTGGACGTGTTCGCTACATGCAGCAGTTTGTGTTCCGGTGCAGAAACATCGAGGATGTGAAGCTCTTTGTTGTCTTCTCTGTTTAGTTTTAAATGTTCCCATGATTTTTATAATTTGTCGTTTTTTGGGCACTTTGTTTCGTCACTCTTCATCCTCTTCTAAAGCTAAATATAGCTCTTAGCAAGCATACACGTGTCAACAGTGTAACGGTTAGCGGAAGCGCTAACATGGTAGCATTGTGTAACACAAATAAGCTTCCAGGCAGGTGAAAGTGTGCTGATTATTTTATGTGTTTTTACGAAGCTTCCAGGCAGATAATTTACCTCGAGGATGTTYTGTAATCSAATAATTTGAGGAACGGTTTGAGCCCTAAAGCAACGTTACCTTGATGTAGGGGTTGCTCATGAGCAGAGACGGAGGCACCTGCAGGGTCAGGTAGTCGTTCTCTCTCCAGTTCAACATGAAGGCCACGCTCTCCTCACCGATCACCTGACGCAGAGGAACATCTGGAGACACATCAGGACCRCTCAGACCAGGGGTCCTGATCTGTTTTCCTAATTCAAGATGGCAGCTGAGAGTGGTTCACTCACCGTGGATCCTCATCTCCAGGTAGCCTCGGACCCTGCTGACCAGGTCGGGCGGCGGTCGCTCCTTGCTGCCCTCGGCCGCCGCCGTCTCGTGAGCTCGGACCTCCAACAGCAGCATCTCGTTCAGCATGACCTGCCGCAGCTTCGGGGAGAACTCTGTGACCAGCTCCAGGCAGGAGGAGAAGAGCTGCCGGGCGTGGCCGAAGTCCTGACAGTGAAGGACAGGATCCAGTGAGCGTGGTGCCACAGGTACAGGTACAGGTACAGGTACAGGTAGAGTTTCCCTCCACACCTTGATGGAGGTGCAGTGGAGTCCTTTAGCCATCAGGATGTAGACCAGGTCTTTGGTCAGGGGGTCTTTGATCCCCAGGATGATGCTGGAGTATTCTGCAGGAACCTCCCACTGTGCAAACACAACAGGTTCAGTCCAGCAGGACTTCCTGCTCCTACCTGTCAGGTGTGAGCCCACCTTACTGTTGACCCTCCAGAAGGGTCTCTCTGCCAGACCTTGGAGCTCGATGAGGATCTGTCTGATCCTGCGGGGGTCCAGGGACAGGATGAGCTGCTGCTCCAGCTGCCCGATGTTCACACTGGCTGAAGCTGTGGAGGGAGAGGAGCAGGTCTGAGACAGGTGGGTCGTCAACAGGTGGGTCGTCAACAGGTAGGTCGTCAACAGGTGGGTCATCAACAGGTCGTTAACAGGTCGTCAACAGGTGGGTCGTCAACAGGTGGGTCGTCAACAGGTGGGTCATCAACAGGTGGGTCGTAAACAGGTCGTTAACAGGTCGTCAACAGGTGGGTCGTCAACAGGTGGGTTGTCAACAGGTGGGTCGTCAACAGGTGGGTCGTCAACAGGTGGGTCGTCAACAGGTGGGTCGTAAACAGGTCGTTAACAGGTTGTCAACAGGTGGGTCGTCAACAGGTGGGTTGTCAACAGGTGGGTCGTCAACAGGTGGGTCGTCAACAGGTGGGTCGTCAACAGGTGGGTCGTCAACAGG